AAATTAATTGTATTTTATACACCAATAATGAACTATCAGAAAGAGAAATTAAGAAAACAATCCCATTTACAATTGCATTGAAAAAACACCTAGAAATAAATTTAACCATGGAGGGAAAAGACCTGTACTTGGGAAACTGTAAGACATTGAAGAAAGAAAATGAAGAATATACAAATAAATAAAAGGGTATACCATGCTCGTGAAAAAATTAACACCATTAAAATGTCCATGTTACCCAAAGCACTCTATAAATTTAATGCAATCCCTATCAAAACACCAATGGCATTTTTCTCAGAAATAGAGCAAATGATCATAAAATTTATATAGAATCATAAAAGACCCCAAATAGCCAAAGCAATCTTGAGAAAGAATAATAAAATAGGAGGCCTCACATTACCTGATATCAAACTATACTACAAGGCTGTAGTAATCAAAACAGCATAATATTGGCATAAACACATACACATAGACCAATGGAACAGAATACAGAGCCTAGAAATAAACCTATACCTATATGGTCAATGAATCTATGGCAATAAAGGCAAGAATATACCATGGGGTAAAGACAGTCTTTTCAATAAATGGTGTTAGAAAAACTGGACAGACACATGCAAAACAATGAAATTAGATCACTTTCTTACACCATATACAATAACTCAACATGGTTTAAAGTCTGAAATGTAAGACCTGAAACCATAAAGCTCCTAGAGGAAAACATAGGCAGTAAGTTCTTTGACATAACGCTTAGTAATATGTTTTTGGATATGTCTCCTTGGACTTTGGAAACAAAAGAAAAAAATAAACGGGACTACGTCAAACTAAAAAGTTTTTGCACAGTAAAGAAAACCATCAAAATGAAAAGATTAACCTACTGAATTGGAAAAGATATTTGCCAACGACATACCTGATAAGTGGTTAATATCCAAAACATATAAGGAACTCATACAACTTAACACAAACACTCCAATTAAAAATGGACAGTGGACCTGAATAGACATTTCTTCAAAAAGGATTCAGACATAAAAAGATGCTCAACATACTAATCAACAGAAAAATGCGTATTATAGCCACAATGAGATATCACCTCACACCTATCAGAATGGCTATCATCAATAAATCAACAAACAAATGCTGATAAGAATGTGGAGAAAAGGGAAGCCTCACGCACTGCTGGTGGGATTGGAGGTTGGTGCAGCCACTATGAAGCAGTACGGAGATTCAAAAAAATTAAAAACAGAACTACCATATGACCCAGAAATTCTACTTCTGAGTATTTATCCAAAGAAACTCAAAACATTAATTCATTTGAAAAGGCATATGCACCATGATCACTGCAGCATATTTACATTTGCCAAGTCAGGGAAGCACCTTAAGTATCCATTCACAGGAGAATAAAGAAGCTGTAGTATATTTATACAATGGAACATTACTCAACCATAAAGAAGAATTAAATCTTGCCATTTACATCATGGATAGACCTAGAGGGTATTATGCTAAGTGACATAAGTCAGAAATAGAAATACAATATAATTCACTTACATGTGGAATCTAAAAACACACAATAAATGTATCAACAAAACAGAAAAAAAACAATATATACAGAGAACTAATTGATGATTGCCAGATGAGAGGGAGGTTGGGGAGATGGGTTAAAAGTTGAAGGGATTCAGAAGTAAGAAGTGCCAGTTATAAAATGAGTCAAGAAGATGTAAAGTACAGCATAGGGAAAATATTGTCAATAACGATGTAAAGGGTCAGATGGGTACTAAACTTATAGGGAAGATTACTTTGTAAGATATGTAAATGTCTAATTACTATGTTGTACTCCTAAAGCTAATATAATATTGTATGTCAACTATAATTGTCAAATAAAAAATATCTTTAAAATAGAATTGTTAAAATAGCAAAAATTTATACTAAAAGTCCTAGGAGTCCTAGGGATTCTGAGAAATTATCAGATAGTGTTATGAAGAAGATAAAAAGTCAGTGAGCCCTCTGTGAGGATCATAAATGTCAGTAAAAGAATAGCAGAAAAGATAAGAAAATTTGGTCTCTTTTGTCAAAGTTCCATGTTATTAAAGACACTCCCTTTCAAAGCATTATTTATTGGAAAGAAATGTTAAAGGAAGTCTTCTTAATTTCTACAAGGCCAAATATGTTCCCCTACCTCCCAAAATTCATCTCCCATTTGCTCACAAATTCTGTACCCTGACCCTTGGAATCTCCTGGATTCCCTGATCAGAGGCCAGGTTCTTCCATTACATATTGGTTCACCAAAACCAATGGGTGATTCCACGAAGTCTTTAAAGAAGTAATTATGTCAAGAGAGGAATCCACATAGTCAAGACATGGCTTTCTTAGGAATGGTGCTTATTTAATCTTAGCAAGAGCAGCTGCTCTTCTTTCTGTATTCTGGAACAAGGCACGGATTAAAGCTTTTACTTCACTGGAAGAGAATGCAGCTGCCAAGGGTCCTTTTCCATCTGCCCACCTGCAAAATAAAAGATAAAATTCTTTTTCCTATTATGTCTCTGAAGTACAAGCAAGACTTAAAAAATGCTTATGTGATCCCAAATGCTTGTCTTAATAGAAATAAAACAAAACCTGGCATCCTTCCCCTTCTTAATGGATCTACCACTCAATCTCTTTGACCTCTTTGGCTTTCTGGCTGCATTTGAGTATCAGCACAGAGAGATAAAGAGACGACGTTAGGAAGATAAGACTATTCTCCCTTATTCTATACACACTAAGCCCTGTTGGAACTTGACAATCATGACCACATCCTCATATGTTTATATAGAGTATTAGGATCTGTAACTACTTTAAAAACTGAATCATAGGCAACAAATTTCAACTTAGAAAGAATTGGTATAAAAAAATACATAGAGAACTCCCATAAGTCAATAATGTAACCACAAACAACCCATTAGAATAAAGGGCAAAAAATATGAACAGGCATTTTACAATAGGAAAAACATGAAGGATCAATAAAAAGATGCTCAACATCATTAGAATTTAAGGAAATGTAAATTACAATGACAATGAGCAAAATTCACACCAATTAGAAAAAATTTTTAAAGTCTGATAATACCAAATACTGGTGTAAATGTGAAGTAAGAAAATAAATTACAAAATATCTGTATAATGGAATATGATACAGCAGTGAAAATGAACTGCAGCTATGCACACCATTGTGGATAAATTTAAAAACTAAAAAGAAGCAAGTTATAGGAGATTCCACTTATAGAAAGTTCTAAACTTCACATTGTTTAGGAATATGTGCAAATGTGGAAAACTATATATTGTTTAGGGATATGTGCAAATGTGGTAAAACTATAAAGAAAGGCCAGGAAATTACACAGAATTCAAGATAGTGGTTACCTCTGGTGGGGAGCACTTGGGAAGGAACACAGGGGTCTTCAAAGGCACTGGTAATATTTTCCTTAAGTTGGGTAATAGGTACGTGAACACTTACTTTACTCCTTTTCTTTAAACTATGAGTATATGTTATATATACTATGCTCTTTCATATGTATATTTTATAATTTTAAAATGTTTAAACTATACAACAGAAGGTAAAAATATTCTCAATTAGATATTATTTATATATTTACTGAAATCTTCCTAGGCAGAAAGAAAAGGAAGCTATGATGTGAAAGTATTATTTTTTTCAGAACAAGGAATTAATGATCATTCTTAGGCTGTAAGAGGGCCCTTGAACAGCAAAAGAAAAATTCTTACATGCTGACTTCTGGAGTCTTACCTAAACATATTTACTACCCACTAAGGACTTGTAAATAACAAATAAATAAAACAAATTTTGTATTAAATATAAGTTATAAGTATTTTGATATGATTTTTTTACAAATAGAAATCTCATTTATAGTGTTTTACAAAGGACAATATTTGCTGAGAACAATTTAGACCCATCTAGGTCTAATATAATTGGGGATCTGAAATAAAGCTAAAACAGACAAACAAGTAGCTATGGGGATGGAGATGGACTTTTAAGGCCTATTCAGGGAGCTCCCTGTGCAAGGTATGCATACTGGTTAATAATCTACCAAGTCAATAATAAAAGCATCCATGGATGTGTAACTAACCTAAACCTATTCTGTTTTTTGCAGTATCGATGCCCACCGCACATTCAGTGTGATATGATATAGACAGCATACAAACACTGGGACAGCAATGTTAACTGATGGTGGTGAGAGGAAACATCATCTATTATATTATATGAAACAAGAAGTCTTTATGTTAACAAATATGAAAAAGTGGTAATGAGATCTACACTATGATAGATAATGCAAAGGTCCCAACTACTGCTACTCAATAGGAAGTTCTTTCCTGGGTAACATTAAAAAATAGAGAATAATCCTATATAATAAAAGCCTAATATGCAAATCAACCAAACAGCAGAATGACTGGTGGAATGATTGGTCACTATGACACGCACTGACCATCAGGGAACACACACTCAATGCAGGAGCTGCCCCCTGGTGGTCAGTGTGCTCCCACAGGGAGAGCACTGCTCAGCCAGAAGCTGGCTCACGGCTAGCGAGCACAGCAGTGGTGGCGGGAGCCTCTCCTGCCTCTGCAGCAGCGCCAAGGAACAGCGAGCAGTAAGGAGCAAGGGGTCCCAGACTGTGAGAGGCCAGGCTGAGGGACACCCCCCACACACACACCCCAGAGCATGAATTTCGTGCACCAGGCCTCTAGTATTGTAATAACTATATATGGTATCAGATGGTCACTAGACTTATTGGGAAGATCACTTTGTAACTTACACAAATATCTAATTACTATGTTGTACACCTGAAACTAATATAATATTGTATGTCAACAGAAATTAAAAAAATAAAAAAATTAAATACATAAAATAATCTCCCCATGCAAAGAAAGAAAGAAAGGGGGGGGGGGGGGAGGGAGGGAAGGAAAGGAAGCACTGCTCTCAATGGCACTAATACTCCTCAAAACTGTGAAAAGATCATTCTACCCACCGATCCCCAATTTCTTGCAAGCTGGCCTGTAACATCATCATCAGTTCTTTGAATGGCATCCATTTTGGCACATAGACTGGAACCTCTTCTTGATATTTCTTGTTCTTGCTTTCTTCAGAGAGAGGTGCAAATACTTGGGGTCCTTCATCCATCACTGTTTTGCATAAGGAATACAATCTATCACCATCTTCAGTAGAGATGTCCTGGTTTTGCACAAATGGAACACAACAAAATAGAATTGGGCCAGCTTAGTAGTAAGGAAAGGGCCGATCTTTGGTGCATGTTGTCCAGACAGTCAGCTAACAGCAATATGTTTTCCAACCAATTTAGCACCTCTTACTGCACACTAGATTTCATCAGCTCTCTGACAATACTCCTACAGCCAGAGTGACACAAAATATGTTTCAACAGATTGTTAGTAATTTAGTTTGCCTGCATGAAAAAGCCCATTTCTCCTGTAGAATGTAGCACAGCTTGCTGCAAAGCAAGGGATGTTATTACAAACAAGGTTTGAGCCAATGTATGCTTTAGAGGCATGAGATAGCAGAGTCCAGGCAACTATTGTAGGGTCACATATATAATCCCAACTGCATCTCACTTTACTAAATTAATTTAATTTATTTGCAAATTAAATATACATGACTTCATACTTTACAGTCCATCTTGGGACTACTGTTTCCAACCTTCTCATTCATAATTTATGCAGATGCTAGATGGAAAAGTAGTGTAATCCTATCTTCGTATATGGCTATAAAAGCGAGACATTAGCAAGTCTCTAGAGCAAGAAAGAATTAAGACAAAACTAAAAAAATACAAACTATGAATTAGACATAAAACATGAACAATTTCTTCTACCATCTGTGTTGACTAAAAAAGAGACTTCAACAACACATTCCTAGTAAAGTGACAATCTAGGACAAGCATTGCATATCAAGTCTGGTGAGCCATCTAACAGCTCTTACCTCCAGGGCAGTGATTCTTCCAATAATCTCAGAAATTGCTGTATTGAGTAAAGTCCCCATAGCCTTGCAATATATGTTCACTGGCAGGACATCCTGCCACACAATTCCAAGTCTCTTCAGTTGGTGCAGGACCTGTGAGAAGAATACAGCTATTTACATAAAAGAGAGATTGCTGCAACTTCTTTCCAGATTTACATTTATCATTTGTGTGTTTATGAGAGAAGAGGCAGCATATAAAGGTGAGGTAAAGTAACCAAGAATATGTGCTTCTTGAATATTAAACCTTAGTGATATGCCTGCTAGATGAAAAACAAATTTATCCTGAGGACAGGGAAATGACACTAAAAAAATAAATCACATAGGAAAGAGGGGCATTAAGATGAAAGCTAATATTTCAAATTTCCCAAACCCAAGTTCATGGGTTAAATATTTGCTATGACAGACTTAAAACTTGTCACACGATGACTTGATGGGAAGGTAGCTTCCTGTTGACTTGGGGAGGGGGGCAGCAGGGGAACGATCATAAATATGACTGTAAAAGGTATCCAGATTGTCCAATGAGGGTTGTGTGGAATAAACTGAGCTGTCTGTTACATAGTTTTTGGTGTTTAAAAACAAGGGGGATATCTAAAGATAGAAAACAAATTCCAGAGCTAACAACAGCCTCCCACCTGACGGATTGCTTTACTTGCTGCAAAATAGTTCTCTTCATCATCCATGCTTGAAAAGTTCCTAGCACTTGATAATCTTTCCAGAAGTTCTCCTTTCTGTGCCCGCATTTGGGCCAAAAAACATTCTGTCCCTATAATGAGAAATGAGAATAAAGAATTCTAACAGTTGTTCAATTACACACTGCAAAACTAGTGTGGAAGAGGAGAGAAGCACACACTATGTATCTGTTCTGCTTACTTGAAAACGCTTGTTATCTAGCAAACAAGCATAAAGCTGCCCTAAGGTTACTAGAGACAGTCATTTCTAATACATTAGCCAGCTCCTCCAAACCCATCCTCAGGATAATAAGTCTTTCCCAATAGCTTGTCCAGAGTCAGATGAGAAAAATAACTTAGATAGAAGCAGCTACTTATTTTCTGAAAGATCTATACCACCGAAGGAATGTCAGAATTGAAAAGCTAAGTGAATTATAGAGTCTCTGCTTTTCTTAGGCTATCATTATAGCAAAATTATTGATTTATCCCACATTTCATGTCTTTTGATTTTTTTAATAATCCCAAGTAAAGCTAAGAGAAGTAGAAGAAGAGGGAGCTATCTTGAGGTTTTGCAAAATAACAAGCACTGACATCAGCGAACTCTTACCAACAACGCTAATGGAACTGTCACAATACAAATCTTATTATTTGTCATTCTACTGACATAACTCAGATTTGGTGAATTCACTGCACATTAGCAATGCACTTTGGAACTCTAATGTATCATGAAATCATGTCAAGAAAAAGTAATGCTTCCACAAAGGGTACATTCACTTTATAAAATTAAATAACTAGGAATACTTGCAAATTAAATGCCCTCCTACTTTCCAACAGAGCTCAGGACCACCACCTAATTTCTAACTGCCTCATTCATAAATTACAAAGATACCAGGCTGAGAAGCTGCATAATCAATGTGCTTTACTGAATTTAAGATATCAGTTACCAAGTCTCCTGAAGCCAGGTACAAGATCCACAAAAGTAGTAGTGCCATCACAAAGAATGGGGGCAAGACGTAATCTGAACTGATGCCCGAGGGTCAGCAAGTGATGAGCAATATACATACAGTTGTTATGATGAATGGCAGCCAATTGGGGAAGTTTTTGAAGGTTCTCCCTAGTTAAAGAGAGAGGGTAGAAAAAGAAAGAAATCACCTCTTATTGAAGTTGGGGTTGATGAAGTTACTACTCTTTTAACTCTTTCTAGGTTTTAATCATTGTCTGCTGTATAAATGCTGAACACAAGATATAATCTCATCATCCAACTTACAATCAGAGAGAAGTTGTTCTGCCTGAGTGTGACCTTATCCTACAAAACTATCCCAGTGAGTAACAAACAAGAAAGAGTAGGGGAATTAAGATGTTTCCCTGTGTCAACTTTTTGTATTGGAAACCTAGCATAGATATACATAATAAATCCCTTGAAATTTAACACTGATCAGTCTGTGGAAATAGACTTACTTCCTCTTTCTCCAAATTCCTATTTTATTTATATACTGAAGCACTCAACTATTTTCTAATTCACTAGTTTTCAAAACTGGCTAGAGATTAGTCACCTGGGAAATTTAAAATATATAGATATTTAACCTGGCCGGCATGGCTCAGTGGTTGAGCGCTGACCTATGAACCAGATCACGGTTCAATTCCTGGTCAGGGCACACGCCCAGGTTGTGGGCTCGATCCCCAGTGTGGGGTATGCAAGAGGCAGCTGATCAATGATTCTCTCTCATCATTGATGTTTCTATCTCTCCTCCCTTCCTCTCTGAAATCAATAAAAATATATTTAAAATGTTTCTAAGCATATAAATATATATTTAGACTTCAATCCCATACAAATTAAATTACAATCTCTGAATGAAGCTAGGGCATTTATGTTTTAAACCTTCCCAGGTAATCTTAATTTTCATACAAAATCAAAAACCACTGCTCTAAATCTTCCACACATATTAGTCTCCCTACCTAGCCTGGGAAGAGATCTTGTCTTGTATTTCTGCTATATATCCTCTTCAGCAGTCTCTCAACTAATACTTCCTAGTTTGCTGATTTTATTAATGTCAGGCTAACTATACAAAGTCAGAAACTAACAATCTAAGACAGTTGTCCTCATTTTGGGCTACACATCAGAAAAATTTATAGGGCTTTAAAAAATCACAGATGTGTAGGTCTTAAACCAGACCTATGAATCAAGATCTCTTGGGATAGGACCTAGGCAAATATACATATTCTTAATGTTTCATAAGTGATTCTAAAATACTGCCAAAGCTGAGAACTCTCATCTAAAACAGTGGTTCTCAAACTGTGGTCCCCTGACAAGCAACATCAGCATGATGTGGAAATTCATTTAAAATTCCAGCCCTGATTTCAGTCCTACTGAATCAAGAAATCTCGGGCATGGGATCCAGAAATCTATATTATAACGAGTCTTCTTGGTAATTCTGATGCACACGCAAATTTGTAAACCATAGGTCCAGCACAGAGTTCCAAGATCATACAGAAGTAAATCTAACTTCACAGTAGAATAAAAAATGTTTCTAAGCATGGACTCCTAAACCAACTATCTCTGAAACTCAAAAAACATAGCTATCAGCTGACCCAGAGATGTTTTCTCTTCTCCTTTACTTGACTAAGTAGACAGTGAAATAAAAATTTTAAAACAGCAAAGAAAATATAACTAAAAATAATAAGGTTCACAATAAGTGTTTTCTTTTATAACAAAAACAACAGGTGTACCTACTTAAAAACATCTCAATATTCAAAAATCTGAACTAAAAATACAACAAATAGTAAACTAATTTTGTTTTTTTGAAACCAGGAGTCCTAAACTAATGAATAACTGTGCTGACGTAATATTTAAAACTTTCATAAAATATATCCAAAACACTTAATGTGGATAATAGAGAGAGCTCTTGGAGGCTTAAAGTTATGAATAACTTTTCAGATTAATATTAAAAGAAACTTCAAAAATCCACGACATTAAGTAAATATAGCCTAAAATAACTAGAAAGAGTAGCTGATCATATCTGACAGTTAAATGGCAATCCCTTGTGGTATTAAGTCTACAAAGCCAAGAGAAAATGTAGTATGTTTACTAGATAGCAATGTGGAGTGATGGCCTTTTGTTTTGTAACCAAGTAAAGTGAGGCAGTTCTCATCTACCATCAAAAACAGGGTAGCCCTAACCGGTTTGGCTCAGTGGATAGAGCGTCGGCCTGCGGACTCAAGGGTCCCAGGTTCGATTCCGGTAGAGGGCATGTACCTTGTCTGCGGGCACATCCCCAGTAGGGAGTGTGTAGGAGGCAGCTGATCGATGTTTCTCTCTCATCGATGTTTCTAACTCTCTATGTCTCTCCCTTCCTCTCTGTAAAAAAATCAATAAAATATAAAAATAAATAAATAAAAACAGGGTAAAGTTTTTTTCAAGTTTTTAAATTTGCATCACCCATTATATTGCAAGATTACAGTACCCTTATTAACTTATTAATAAATGACCTGTGTCCTTTAAACATGTATTTTAAATGGTTTACTGCATTTCACTGTAAAAATTTTGGTACCCAAAATATCTTTGGTGGGAAATAAGATCACTGGTTTTAATGACTTACACACATTCCAGACATACAATCTTACAGAAATGAGATACAGTGGTACTTACTTGTGATATGTTGGTACAACATCATGAAACAAATGGAAGATATTCCTCACTGAGTAGAAAAGTTGAACAGCACTAAGAGGAAAACAATTTCAATAGAAATGCATAAGGATATATTGGAAATAGAAAAAAAACTTAAACTAAGTGTACCTTAAACTAAGTGAGAGTCATCAGCTAAAACGACAATTTGAGCGAATACCTGCCTTGGTCACTGCTGAAAACACCACTCATCTAGATGGAAATATACTCTCAGTCAGTATTTGCTAACTAGACTGCAGTCCTAAAAACCTGGATCTCTTAATAATTTTAAGAATTGCAGCATTCAACACAAAGCCTTTTTCCATTTACCCGTTTGTTTGTTTTCTGCCAGGACCCAGAGTATCCCTTCAGTAACAAATGGAGCTAAGCCTCAAGCAAATGTTACCTACTCACTGACGCACTCCGCAAAGGGCAAGACATCAATAAGGCATTCACTTGGTTCTTTTAGAATCAGTCTGACTTTCAGCTTTCACCTTTTCTCCTTCTTACCCCAATGCAAGGAGATGAATCAACATTTCTAGAATAGAATCTAACCTCAAGGTTTGGGTTTTTTTGCCCTTTATATCTGGTCTTAGAATACCTAAAGATTATTATTAAAATGCACTCAGAAAGGGCAAATATAAGGTTTCTGCACTTACTTCTATGTAAGAGTATCTTAAAACTATGTACCTGGAATAAGTCATAAGAATGCCACAAATATTTAGAAAAATAAGTTATGGTTATTATACCCCCAAATACTGTTGCTACTTGATTACTATAATACCTGATTATTTTATTTTTGCTGCATATATTCTTTGAGGTTTAATAATAGAGGAGTTATTGCAGTGTAGTTGTGATTTTATTTGTCCTGTTAAAAACTATTTTAGTGAAAGAATGGCCATAGACATTCAGTATACAAAAATATTGTTGGGTCGCCCTAGCTAGTTTGGTTCAGTGGCTAGAGCATCAGCCTGGGTTCGATTCCTGTCAAGGGCTCATACCCAAGTTGCAGGCTCGATCCCCAGTAGGGGGCATGCAGGAGGCAGCTGATCAATGATTCTCATCATTGATGTTTCTATCTCTCTCCCTCTCCCTCTTCTCTGAAATCAAAAAAAAAAAAAAAAAAAAAAAAAAATATATATATATATATATATATATATATATATATATATGATGGGTATTCTGTATTCTCACATATTTATTTTGCCAAAGGAAAATATACTTCCTTTTACATGTATTTTTCTTCCTACTTATATTTAAAACTGGAAGGACTTGTGAATATAATGATTCATTAAAGTCATGGAAGTATTTGGTAAACGTGTTCTTTCTAGAGCAGAATAGAATAAAGGGTTTTGTGTGAATGTGGAGGTAAAAACTGAAACTCTGGAAGCCAATCTGAAGATGCAGTATGATTAAGTCCAGCCCTAACTAATAAAGGTGTTTTCTGCTATGAGGACAAGAAGTAAAAAACTGCTACGTATAGATACAAACTGAAGAGGCTTTTGTCATTCTGTTCTGCAATGATAGGCTATGGCCTATCATTTTCTCTTCAATTTTGTCTAGGAATAGGAAAAAGCTTACAAAAAGAAATTCAATATATGCGAAATAGAGTTTGGGGTACCCTGTATACAATGCACATTAGAAATCATCCTGAAAGGGTGATTTTTGATACATTCCATTCTTTTCTTTCTTTGGGTACCCAACAAACTATTATCACTTTAGAAAATAAATGTTTAAAATGTAAATTAATTAGGGCCTAGATTTCAAAAGGTAACATAAATGTTAAGCTAAGGGGCTAGAGCAGGCTGGAGTAGATGATACAACTATCACTATTACCACTCCTACCAATAATAAACATTTGAGTATTAATCATTTTCCAGGTAGCATTCTAAATTCCTTACACATGCTTTCTGATGTAATATCATTTAATTCAAATAAAAAATTAAAATTAAATAGCTTTCTATTAAAAATAATTAATAATTTTTTGCCCTAGCTGGTTTGGCTCAGCGGATAGAGCATAGGCCTGCGGACTCAAAGGTCCCAGGTTCGATTCCAGTCCAAGGCATGTACCTGGGTTGCGGGCACATCCCCAGTGGGGGGGACGTGCAAGAGGCAGCTGAATCGATGTTTCTCTCTCATCGATGTTTCTAACTCGCTATCCCTCTCCCTCTCCCTTCCTCTCTGTAAAATAAATCAATAAAATATATTTTTTTTAAAAAATTAACAATTTTTAACATCAAGGAAACCCATTAGGTGATCCATACATGTTTCTATTCTTACACCTTGCTATAAGATGTTATTGAAAAGACAATTGTTAACATACATTTGTGTGCTGCACTATTTTTCAGAAAAAAATATATTAATTAACTAATGGGATAAGAAAACTCAAAAGAGCCCTGGTTGGTTTTGTTCAGTCGGTTTGTGGACAGAAGGGATCATGGGTTCACATACCTCAGTTGCAGGTTCAACCCCCTGCTGGGTTGGGATGCATTCATGAGGCGACCAATCAATGTTTCTCTCTCTCTCTCCCCCTTAATTCCTACCTTCCACTCTGTCTAAAAAAAAAAAAAAGTCAATGGAAAAAATATCCTCAGCTGAGGATTAAAAAAAAACAAAAAAACAACTCAAAAGATTCAAGCTAATTCTCTTAATAAATATCAGTTTAGATAAATATTTAACAAAGTCACTGCCATGTTCACACAACTCAGAACTCTTACCATTGATCACTACTGGTTGTTGCCTCTAGTAAAGTCTGGTAAGCAAGTTCCATTAATTTCTTCACAGATTCACTAACACGACAAGTGGGCAAAGAAAAGGAATGTTGGTCCAATGTATTTTCAGGCTGTAAATTCACCATTTCATTGTACTGAGTTGTGGACATTTTCTGTATTTGTAGCTTGTTATCCTCATCAGAGGTGGGTAAGTCAGGCACACTTATCTTAGAGTCAGGAATAATCTAAGATTCAACATAGAAACGAAAAAGCACTATCCTCAGAATAATTCAAATGCAAGCATACAGTGAAGAATAAGATATGATGATAAAGCTATGGCTCTATAGGGTAATAGAAAGATTTGAGTACAGCCCCGGCCAAGTGGTTCAGTTGGTTGAATGTTGTCCCATGCACCAAAAGGTTGCGGGTTCAATTCCTGATCAGGGCATATACCTAGGTTTCGGGTTTGATACCCAGTCAGGGCATGTGCAGGAGGCAACTGATTGATGTTTCTCTCTCACATCTTTGTTTCTCACTCTCTCTTCTCTCCCTTCCTCTACATGGCAGTATTTTAATGACTGCTCAATCTTAGGTTGAGAGCATGTCCCCAGAAATAAGCAATTCTTTTTACTATAATTCTTCCAATTCTTCTGTGCACTAATTTGGTGAAAATACAAAATCAATAAAGCTTCTCTAACACTTACATGAATGAAAATTCCCAGACTTAGTCAAGACTAAAGGGAAGAATACTAGGCTGTTAATTTGGAAACATCCGTGATATTTTTTACGCTAACTTAGACAAAGTCATTTAACCTCTCTGGACTTCAATTTTCTCATTGTACAAGAAAGAAAAACTGTACTGAAATATGATTTTCAAACCTTGCTGCTTAAAGATCCCTAGGGGTCAAAAAAAGGAGAGATTAAGCATGTAGAAGCAGCAGGTTCCCTAATCCCACTGCAAGAAGAGCAACTCTGCTCTTCATATACTGGACCTCTACAGAAAATGTATGACAGAAAAAGTTTAGTATGATAAAAATGTTTAAGTCATCAGACTTGCCTTCCAAATCTGTAAAAGAGTATAATAGTATCTACTTCATAATGCTGTTATGAAGTTTATATAAGAATACGAATGTCAGGGACCTATTAGTCAAAATTATGGCTAACATCAGAATACAGAAGAAAAAGTATAATTATAGAGATGTTTAGGAAAATGCCAATGTTTGTCTGAAAACTAGTGGACCCAGAATACACGACTCAAAACAGTGACTTCATGAGGAGGGTGAGGGAACCTCAAGATGGAAGAATATAAGATCCAATATGACACCTGTAAGGTTAAAATGTAAAAACCAAACAACAAAAACAACTTTAGATGTTTTATGAAAATAGTGGGTACACATAGGGAATTGTTTTAGAGAAAATTTAGATGAAGACTATGAAAGGCAAATTAAATTAAAATGATTTATGAAAAAAGGAAGATGAGCTTTCCAAAGCTGGGCAGTTTAAAGTATCTAATTCCAGGGCCTTCATGCCAAGAAAAAGAACCAGGTTAGAACCTACAGCAGATGTTCTTAACTAAGGGAGCATCTGGCAATGTCTGGAGACATTTTTGGTTAACACAGCAGGAAAGTTGCTCGTGGCATCTGTGAACAGAGATTAGGGGTGCCACTAAACTTCCTACAGGCCAACCCTCCAACAGCAAAGAATTATCTGGTCCCAACTATCAACAGTGCCATGTTGAGAAACCCTGATCTAGAAGAAGCTACGTATTAGGATTTGGGCACTCAGGAAAAAATAATAGTTTTATAGAAAGTCAGAATTAGTTGAACAAGAAGCTTAGAAATTATCTAGTTCAATTTTGTCATGTTACTGAAAAGAGAAATGAGGTCCAACAAGGTTGAAATATTTTAGCTCAGAGTCACAGAGCAACACAGTAACAATCCTATTTACATCAAAGAGTTATGACAGAGGCAAGTGAGATATATATTAATTCATTTACCAAATCCTTACTGAATACTGGGTACATAGTGGTGTGCACCAGGTATTTTCTTGGTGCTGGAGATACACAGTAAGGAAAAAACCCTTCCCTTATGGAGCTTATTTTCTAGAGTAGGAGGATTATTTTTTTAATCCTTACCCAAGGATATGTTTTTATTGATTTTGGAGAGGAAAGGAGAGGGAGAGAGGAACATCAATGTGAGAAAGAAACATTGACTGTTGCCTCCCACACCCACCCAGACTGGAGATTGGACCTGAACCTGGGTATGTGCCCTGACCGGGAATTGAACCCATGACCCTTTGGTGCACGGGACAATGCTTTAACTAACTGAGCCACACTGGCCAGGGTAGAGGTCACAATATTAAAGCATGGTCAGGAAAGGGAGCAAGTCATGTAGCATGACTTGTGGTAAAAATGTTCCTAACAAAGGGAACAAGAGACTCAAAGGTTCTGCAACCAGTGGTCTTAGCAAATTCAGGGAACAGCAATATTAGAAGCCCAATACAATAGCACCTGGAATTAGAGGCAACAGGAGCACAGATCATGTAAGGTCTTATAGCTACTTTACATAAGATTGGAAGATGGGAAGCCACTGGTTTTGTGCAGAAGAGTTACATAATCAAGTGATATTTATGTTAGAAAAACCCACAGCACAATTCCTGGTAATCAGTAGATTTCAACTCCCTTAACAATCCAAAATTACCTCAAAATGTGTTACTACTATCTATGCCCTCAAATGGCTAGCTAAAGTGGGCACAGTAACAGGTTACTCCCAAGGACGATGGAATATGGCCGAAGGGATAGAAGGAAAAAGAGTAGAGTACCTGCAGTGATAGAAGAAAAATAGCTGAGCAATTTTCTATTAAGAGAATACCTTAGTCAATGTGTTGTTTTAAACTAGTAATTCCTTACATTTACCAAATATTACTTTATATTTGTAAGGTAAGAAGATAAAATAAAACAGAAGTGAACACACAGAAATATCTAAGATCAAAGGAGTAACTTACCCTCAATGCAAATTAAGCAGTCCATTAACTTTGCAGATAATTTGTTTATACTTTACATAGTTCACATTTTTTTATTATTTTAACTTCAAAACTAGTGCCTAAAAGATGAAGTCAACATTTTCACAATAGAATGTAATCTCTGGACATAAATAAAGCCTACCTGTCCCAAAATTGTGTACTAAAAATTAAGTAATGAAGTTGAGAAAAACATATAGGTTGGCATATTACCTAATTTCAACAATAGTAGTGCATTACATTTATGTAGACTTTTTCAATTTATATAATGCTTTCATGTGCATTACTTTATCTGGACTTCACAATACCCTATGAAAGAGGTAAATAGTAGGACCACTTTAAAGGTAAGAAAACGAACATTCAGAAGATTAATAACTCCCACAATGAGCTCAGCAACTGTCATGCCCTCTTCCAGTCTAACATATTCATCTCAAAAAGGAGCTGCTTCCTGAACACTGTAATATACCATAACCCCAATACCTTCACAGTGTTGTGAATTTCAGAGGTCATTAGGTTTCTAGCCGCCACAATCACATCCTGACACTTCTTATTAGCAAAATGAGAATTGATGTTACGGGCATATTTTAGCAAATCAGTAGTATCTCCTTTTAAAAACCTCATCTCCTTTAAGGCATTTTCAAATTCTTCAGTGGATTGTATGATCTGACAAATACAAGAAAAAAAACAATAATTATATACATATATTCCATTTCAATATTAAAATTTCAAATCCAATGAAAAGAACAGGACCACCTGGTTATTTAAGTTTTAGAACAAATCATCAATTACTAGGAATAAAACTATGAGACATTTTTCTTCCTGCCTTAAATTAATTAGGAAGAGTATCTTCAATAGAAATTTCTGATTCTATTTGATTAAGGTACAAAGACCTTTAAAATAAATATACTTATTTTAGTGTTCAAGGAAAGAGTAAAAAGAAACGAGAAAGCAGTGCCACATAGTAACTACTATAACTGATACAAGTACAAATACAAGAATAATTGTTTTTCAAAAGTATCTTACTAAAGAAAATACACTTAGTAAGAAGGTGCTTCCCAATCAAATGGTAGGAAGCCAGGAGAAAAAGGAAGTTATGAGGAATTTGCTTCTATTCCTTATTAATAATTTTTTTAAAGATGTCACTAAAGAACTAAAGATCTAAAAAAACAAACAAACAAACAAACAGCAACAAAATCCCTGACACCAATAAGAAGCTAATCTCTTAAATCTCCTGTGATATCTCTGCTCTTACCTCCTCATATTGCTGTAACTTGCTGCTATTTGTTGGGATAGAATAAACCAAACAGTTTTTAATGAGGCACTCAGACAAGTCCTCCCAGATCATGTCACCAAGCATCTCAGCCAATATGATCTTAGATGTTTTTTCATTTTCTTGATCAGTATCAAGAGGCAAATCTGAATTCAAAAGAAAAAGTTTAAATAAGAAACCATTCACAGTCTAGATTATTCTCAAGTTCCTTAGTGTTCTAGAATTCTTTAGTTGTAAGATGATGGGGAAGAAAATGGCACAGATAATTTTATAACTATCTCAACTGATTGCATGGGGGTAAAGCATGACATACAATCATTATTTTATCTTTCACTGCTCAAATGAATCATCTGCACTGTATTTCTGCCTGTATTCTATAACAATAAGGTATTAAGCCATCTACATTATAATCATCTACTGCTAATGTACTGATTTGATTCTATGAAAAGTACTCAGAAATTCTGCATATAAAGTTGAAACTAGTTTAGAATAAAATCCCCATTCTTTAATAATACTTTTTTCATCTCTGCAAAGGAACAGAGTTTTTATCCTAGTACCAATAAACACATTACATTATTGTATATTTAGTCTAGTAAACAGAATACTTCAATACCTTTTCTATAGTATATCTTGAGGGAATTATAATTAGAATACACTATTCTATTAAGAAATACTTATCTTCAAGATATTCTTGGAACAAAATGCTGGCCAAATATTTAATAATCAGAGATAAAAAAATGGCAATGTTTTCCATGTAGATCACACTGCATACGAACAAACTAAATGTGAAGTTCCACGGAAAGAAAACTTATTTGTGACCTCATAAGAATTGATATTGCAATTAAACCTTTTCATAGTACAGATCAATAATGATATCATTTTTCTAACAAAACTCAAAATGCAGAAGATTTTAATTGTAAACTGGCTGTCAAAAATACCAACAAAAGAATTCAAAGAATGCTTTTCTGATATTGATAAATTTAGAACTTTTTAAAATTTTATGCAAAACTGCCTTGAATTCTATGTTAAGAATAGTAAGTTGGTTCATGGTTAGTGAATTTCCTTAACTCAGCCAGTTTTGAAACTGATATACTTTTGCTTTAAAGTCAAATCAGTTCATTTAAAAGGGATGAACTAAATTTGTTGGTGTAGGTGAAAATATTATAGGAAAATGATTATTTTGGTACTCAACACAGCTACTGGAAATTTTACAGTATATCTGGAACAACTTGTATATAGAACCTACTTTTTCAACTAAATTTTCAGTATGTTTGGAACAACTTGGACATGGAACTTACTTTTTCAACTGTAAATTTTATGACATCTAAATACAGACCAAGTATTTCTAGGGAAAATTTACATCCAATTTGAGATGCACTTAAGTATAAAATACTCACCAGATCTAGAAAAGTTCATATAAAAATATAAAATAGCTTATTAATAATTTTTATATTGATTATATATTGAAATGATATTTTGGATATATTGGAATAAAATATATTATTAAATTGGAAGTTCATGTTCCATTTAACTTTTTTATGTGGCCACTGGAAATTTTAAATTACATTATGTAGCTTGCATTTTATTTCTATAGACAATGCTGACCTAGACCGCAGCTCTAAATGCATTTACCAAGTGATATAAGCAGCTAGTACACTGCCTTCCTCTATAAATATTTGTTGAATGGATATATGCAAACATACCAGAGAAGAAAGTTTGGCTCACACCATATAAACCATTTTGCACCTTTGCCCCGCCTTCAGATCATCATAAACATTCACCAAACTATTAAAAATAATGATGTTCCTATTTTGCTTAGTTTTTTATTGGCAAATGTCACTAAATTTTGGCATATTTTCCATATCTAATGATGCAATGACATGCTGACATAATGAACTGTTTGACAGCTTTCTTATGCTGAACCATCTTTTGGACTCCTAAAATAAACCCTTGGTCAGAATGTGTCCTTTTTAAAGGCACTATTGGATTTATTTAATTTTTTTTTTAAATATATTTCTTTATTGATTTCAGAGAGGAAGGGAGAAGGAGAGAGAGATAGAAACATCAATGATGAGAGAGAATCATTGATTGGCTGCCTCCTGCACACCCACCACTGCGGAACGAGCCCGCAACCCAGGATGTGCCCTCGGCCGGAATCGAACCTGGGACCCCCCAGTCTGCTGGCTGACGCTCTATCCACTGAGCCAAGCCGGCCAGGGCTAATTTTTCTTAATGTTTGAATTTATAAATCAAAGGTAAAATCATTCTATAGTGATTAATTTGTGAGTAAGCAACCATTATTACATTTTGGTATTAAATGTATGCTGTTTTTTTAAAATATATACTTATTGATTTCAGAGAGGAAGGGAGAGAGAGAGACAGAAACATCATTGATGAGAGAGAATCATTGATCAGCTGCCTCCTGCACACCTCACAATGGGGATCAAGCCTGCAACCTGGGCATATGCCCCGACCGGGAATCTAACAGTGACCTCCTATACATAGGTCGACACTCAACCACTGAACCACGCCAGCTGGGCTAGGCTGGTTTTTTAAAAATTAAGTAGGGCATTTCTCCTCTTTTTCTATTGGCCAAAGAGCTTACTTTAAAAAGGGATTATCTGTAATTTGAAGAACACACAGAATTTAGCCATAAACCTTCGGTGCCTAATGGTGACCTTTTTAGTGCCAAGTCTTTAACAACCTTTCAAATTTCTTCTATAATTATTTGTATGCTCAGAGTTTCTGCTTCTTCCTAAATTTTAGTAATTTAGTTTCTAGAAAATCATGGCAAAAGCAAAATATGCTTGCTGTCACAAGACTAACACTACTAAGGTTTATAAAGAAAAACCCCAAATTTACCCTCTCCACACCCATAAGATTATCTTTCTTCTCTCCTTGCCTGTGACAAATTTTAAGTTTGGTTGGTATTCTTCCTCCCTCAGACTCATACAAAAATAAATATAAATATGAATTTGTGAAATATGTGCATGTGTACACGTATACACGTACACACGTACACACACACACACACACACAATTTGATTTGGACTGATTATTTCTTTAGGGCCGAATCCTAGAAGTTGAAATCCTACTTTAAAGGATAAAACATCTTAAGGCTTTTTATCCATTTGCCAAATTCTTTCCAAAAAATTTTTCATTCTCCTCTTTTAAAAGCTTCTTTGTTGTTGGTATATCATGCATAATAATAAAGAAAATATGAAAGAAAAAAATACATATTCAAATATAAAAGAATGGGCAAAGCCTTTATGAAGTTTCAGAATAAGTAAAACACAAAGAAAGTAGAGGATTCCAAAAAGAACTAAGGAATCTAAATATGATTTGATGCTCTCTGAGCCAGAAGGGAAAGAATAAATGGTAAAGGAGAAACTAAAGCCTAAAATGCATAATGATATTAGAAAAGCACCTGCCAATACTAAGTTGTCTTCTGCTCTACATATCCTAGGTACTAAGAAAACTTACAAATAAAAAAAACAGGCCCTAGTCGGTTTAGCTCAGTGGATAGAGCATCAGCCTATGGATTTAAAAGGTCCGGGGTTTGTTTTCAGTCAAGGGCACATGCCTGGATTGCAGGCTCAATCCCCAGGAGGGGGTGTACAGGAGGCAGTCAATGATTCCCTCATCACTGATGTTTCTCTCTCTCTCCCTCTCCCTTCCTCTCTGAATTCAATAAAAAAACAAACAAACAAAAAAAACCAGGTTGAGTACTAATTAATTTAATGGAACAGGGTCAAACTGTCAAGTGATTTCTACTGTAATTCCCCACAACACCCACCCCCTCTGGGCCTATTTCAGGCAACAGTATCATTACTGACTTAGACTGAACTATAAGAAAACATGACTAACAATTATGCACTCAGATAAAGTAGGAATAGTAAACACTATAACACTGTATCAAGAAAAAGTTAACGAAGATTAAGGTGAATTTTTTAAAAATCAAGTACAAGTGTTAGATAAAAAAAGTAGCAATTTACATTGAGTATGACATTGGACTTACATTTACCTTAAGCTCAATGAGTTAACTGTGTAATAACAGTCTGGCTATACTGTAAAAACCATGGAACTGAGAAGGAGAGCATAAATGCTCCCCTAGTATTCTGAATTGGCTAAGACTACACCTAGAATACTCATTGTTTTGAACACTATACCTTAGCAAGAGGACTACTGAAGAAATGGAATATATTCACGTTATCATTAAAGATAAAGGGAAACTTAAAACTATGTCATTCAAAAAAAACCTTAAGGATGTTTATATTGGTGATAAGATGTAGGGGAAATAACAGCTCCTGTAAAGAATTTTAAAGTTCATCATGTATCATAAGAATTAGACTTGTTCTACACAGCTCCATATAATAGAAACAGCATCAATAAAGCAGACATTACAAGGCAGTATATTTCAAATACATTTTTTAAACCACTACACTAAAGATTTAATGTACAATATGCATGTTTTGGGTAATAGTATTTAATATAGAAAGGAGATATGATTTTTAGAAAAATAAAGAAAAACTTCATAGTACTCAGAGTTGCCCAAAAGTAGAATAAAATGCCTCAAGAGGAAATGATCCTCTCACTAAAGGTGCTCAGCTTGGTTTTATGGAAAATTGATGTGGGTGTTATAGAGGAGATATTTGGATTGAATCACTTTTTTGTTTTCTTTCAATCCTTGGATATTTTGTTTAAAACACTGCTTATATCTAATAAAAATAAAAGTGAATTATCTCCGTAAGTGAAGGAACAAGAAAACTACCTGGGATTTTGGTAATTTATACAAGCCTTGAGATTTTTTATTCTCTACCATCAAAATTAGAAAAAATTCCTAGCATATTTATTCCCTATGTACTAGTATATAACTGCCAAGAAGGCATATAAACTATACTAGAATTTCTGTTTTATTCTCTCCACAGGAAGAATGCTTGATTTAACTATTCAATAAGACAACTGAGAAAAGCAAAAAGGTATGTCAAACAGACTAAACAAAAAACAAACACAAAGAAGTATTAAAATAAAACACCAGAAGAAATTTTACTTTTATTAGTATGACAACCAAAAAATGATTTAAGCAATACAGAAACTGGTTATTTCATATGTGAATATATAAAGACCTAAACAATAGTTTCAGTTGGATGTCATTCATTTCCTATGTTATCCCTAGTTTGTTTATGTCACATGAAGGGATTTTCCCCCTAAAATATGTAAACCAGCACTTGGTTCATTTCTGTTTCTCCTATAATAAAAGCAGGAGTTCCAAAATGTGAGGTTACTAGAAGTCAAGTGAGAGAAGGCATCCTAGAATTCAACTAAGAATTACAAATATAGAATCTGGGGTAACACTGATAACCCTACCTGTCAACATAGGGCAGAGAAGAAATACAAAGTAGAGCAAGATATAAGAAGGTAACTACTTTGTTCCCATGGCATAACCTACTCACCTCTAATGCTCCACTAAGATTGCGGTCATTTTATCTACTTTCAAATAATATTTACTTTCAAAAACCATGACTTTTCCAAAATACAAAAAGCCCTTGGAGATACATACCTAGAAGATGTTTCTGGAGCACTTCCAGTACCAGTCTGACCTTTGCAAAAACTTCAGATGGTGACGGATGCTCAAAGTCAGTCATCACAGATTCAAAACGAATGATGATGATGTTAGGCTGGCTTTCTACCACAGCAAAAAGGGAGGGGCAAGATGCCAGAGGCCTAAGGATATACTTCAGCAGCATTTGCCCTGAAAAATTATATGAACACTCATAAAAATCACTAGAATAAACTTTTATATAAAACTATGTAAAAAAAAGAAAGATCTTTGAGTCTAACAACAAAAATACTTATATAACATTACACACCATATATTATACACTGAAGGTTTTCCCACTGAAGTTTCCCAGATTATCTATAGATTTTTATTTAAATTATTAAAAAAACAGATAAACAGCAGCAGCTAGTTTAAAAAATAAAACAAAGAAAAGTAACTAAGCCCTTAAGAAAAAGGCAAATGCTTATGACAATTCCATTTGATGAATTATGAGGCCAAACCCGACGATCTATCATCAATGTTATCCAGAGAATATTTTATAATATTTTCTGTCATTCCTTTAATAATGGACCTTCTGAGATTTCATGTAAATGAAACAACGTAGTGTCCCTTACCAAATGATTTAAGCTTGGTATGTAGCTCTCCAAGAATAGAAAATGCCAAGAGGACAGAGCTGGTTGGTGGCATAGGGGGCTTCTCTTCATTTTGAGACTGTTCAGTGCATAAGTGAAGTTGTGTTTGTAAGCAAGATTCCAAGTTGCTGGTATCTAAGAAAAAGGGAAAAAAATATCAGCTGTCTCAGCAATGCAAGATATTCCTACTTCTATTCCTCAGGGCCCATTCTCTACTCAGTTCCTAAATATGTGTTGTACTACAATACACTTCCAATGCAACCAAACGTTAATTATTACATGTATGTCCTTGACATCATTTTAAAACAGAAAACTGCACTTTTAGTATGTTCAAATAATCAAACTAAGTGCAAAAGCAGATGATGTGCGTATAATAAATGCTATTAAATATGTATTGAATGACCGAAAGAAGGCAAGGAGCGAAAGCGAGACCCTACTTTCACATAAGACCTCCTCTTTTTTGTTCTTTATTACCAAGTAAAGAGAATAGCCTGTCAAACAAGTTTAACAGGAACGGTGTGTTATAGAAAAATACATCTGCTATCTTCTCATAATTTTACAGTCTGCTTAGAAATAGAATCTAAAAATTTCCAGATTCTTTCTTTTAAAATAGGTAACTAAAATACGTGTGTGTGTTGTGTGTGTGTGTTGTGTAGGCCAAAGTGAATGTGGAAAAGGAAACAAGAAGAGACTGTGAGGTATCCCCTGAAACAGACTAAATTTCAAGATTCAGTGTTGGAAAATATACCAGGTTTAATGCCATGTCCTTTACATACTAGTATACCCTCAGAGGTTTCACTTTTGTGTAAACAAGACAAACTGAATGGGTCTCACATCCAGAGGTGGGCAGAGGGACTGAGAATAGTTATATAAATAAATGCCAGGGCCAGAGTTATACTATTTCTTCATCTTGCAAAGCACCCCCATCTCATGATTTTGTCACTATTTTCCCTCAAAGACAGAGAAAAATTGAGTCAAATCCCTGTCTCATTAATCCATCTTCTTTCTTCAGCAAGAGAGAATGGCAGAACAGCTTCTTTAAGCTTTCTAGCCAAGAGAGATGGTTGGGATTAGGGCTTGTGGGGAATGAGATCATCCTACTATGCAGTGGAAGCTCTGTGTGGCCTTACATACCTTCACCACATGGACCCCACCCACCCAATAATCTTCTCTCTTCTCTGCTCCTTCCTACTGAAAGGGACAGACAGAGAGGTGTAAAGGAAATCAAGTGAGGACACTTCAGAGACCCAGATGAATTAATCCTAACAAACACTTGGACTAATATGAGAACTCAATATAAACTTGCAAGACTAATAGATTTCTCTTCTACCAATACAAATATTTAGCATATATTCAGAGGCTGAACAGGTCCAGGCAGATTAAGCAAAGCAGTCCACCTGAGGTCAGCAGCACCTTTTGATGGTGGGAACTTCCACACAATCAGCTTCTGCCACTCTTCGCCAAGATGATAGAGTATGTTCTGTTTCTGTATGGTGAGCTCCATGCTGAGAGATTTCAACATTTTTAAATCAAAGCATTTTCTGGATTTTAGTAACTTCAAGCATTTCTGTGCCTGGTAGTGAAATGGAATCATTATTAAACATTCCATCTGGATTCAGGGCAATTAGAATATCCTATATAATAAAAGCCTAATATGCACTGACCACCAGGGGCAAACGCTCTGACCAATAGGTTAGCTTGCTGCTGGGGCCCAGCTATTGGGACTGGGAGAGACGGGCCAGACACGCCCTGGAGACCTCCTGAGATCCCTCCCTGGCCCGGACTGTGCACCGGTGGGGTCCCTCAGACTGGCCTGTCCCTCTCACAATCCAGGACCCCTCGGGGGATGTCGGAGAGCTGGTTTCGGCCCCATCACCGCAGGCCAGGCTGAGGGACCCCACTGGGGCACGAATCCATGCACAGGGCCTCTGGTATTTATATAATGATAAGAAATATATGGAACGAACATGGGCTAAAAACTGGGATAGTACTAATTGTTCATGCTTTATTTTTATTATTTAAATATTTTTACTGATTTCAGAAAGGGAGAGGGAGAGATAGAAACATCAATAATAAGACAATCATTGATCCACTGCTTCCCGCACGCCCCCCACTGGGGATCAAGCCCGCAACCGGGCATGTGTCCCCGACTGAAATCAAACCTGGGACCCTTCAGTCCACAGGCCAACGCTCTATCCACTGAGTCAAACCAGCTAGGGCTGTTCATGCTTTAGAGCAGCGGTTCTCAACCTGTGGATCACGACCCCTTTGGGGGTCAAACGACTCTTTCACAGGGGTCGCCTAAGACCATCGGAAAACACATATAATTACATATTGTTTTTGTGATTAATCACTATGCTTTAATTATGTTCAATTTGTAACAATGAAATTGGGGTCACCACAACATGAGGAACTGTATTAAAGGGTCGCAGCATTAGGAAGGTTGAGAACCACTGCTTTAGAGAAAGTATTTGATACCTCTTCTAGACGCAAAGCAGCAGTCACATACTTCTTCTCTGCTAATGCACTATTATATTCTTCAATAGCTGTAGAAAACTGAAAATAAAGTAGTTATTAGGTATTTTAAGTCTGGCTGCTTGTTTTTAAATTATGAAAAATACCATATAGTCAAGAGATACACATTTAATGAGACCAAGAAAAAAAAATTACTTTCTCCCCACCAAAACACTAAAGCTCAATTTGAAGTTACTGACCTCTTGTAGCTGTTTAAGCAAACTTAGGACTACTGAGTCTTTTTCCAACTGTTGCTTCAAGTCTGTAAATTCAGCAGTTGATACGTGAAGATCCCGGCGGACCTAATACACACATCAAAGACAAGTATATTTAAAGCTATACTATATCTAATAAATAAAGCATCCATAGCTAATCAATAAGCCTTATTAAGTGAATATAATTCATGTTGAAATTTAAATGCTAATTAAGATTGGGATGTAGTAGGAAGAGACCTTAAGTGGTCCACTTAGTCCAAACCCTTATCCTCTTCAGGAATGCCCATCCCCATGAACAGAGTTTCCTGTGTCAACATCTGTTCTTAGTTTAAGCCGTTATCTCATCTGAGCTCACTCACCTAGATTACTAGAAAGGTATCCCCACTGCCAATTCATTCTACAGGAGGACAGCTCTTCGAAAGATTTTCTTTTGTTGAGTCAGAATCCACCTCCCATTCTGTCCCACCTTTTCAGGAACTTTGCAATATCAATTATTTTCTTTCCTTGTTATATCTTTCTCTCTCACTATTTCACCCCTCATTCATGAAATACCCTACTAATGCATGGCTCCTCCCATCAGACTTATGTGTTAAAAATCTCTCCCATTTTTAAGAAAAAATTTCCTCCACTTCAGCAATCATGCTATTGCTTAGTAGCTACCTTATTTCTTTCCATCCTGTCACAAACAAGTTTCTTGCAAGAGTGACCCATATTCACTGTCCTTACTTTCTCACCTCTCATTCACTCTATAATACATTGATCTGGTTTCTACACCCACCATTCCCCCAAAATTATTCCAAAACAATTGGTGCCAATCAACTCCTTGGTGCTAAATCCAAAGCATGTGTCATCAATTTTAGCTACACATTTATCAGTACAGTTACTTTCCTTCCCTTAGTTCTGAGCCACCATTCCCTGATTTTCCTCCTTTTCTTTAGCCATTCCTTCTCATTTTCTTTTGGGAGCTTCATTCCCCCTCTGGCCACTTCCTACTCTGAACCAGTGGTTCCCAAAATATAAACTTTTTTTCCCTTATTTCTATCCAGGGTCATTTAGCAATGACTGGAGACATTTTGGCTTGTCACAACTGAAGGAGTTCTGGCATTTAGAGAGTAGAGATCAGGGATACTGCTAAACATCTTACAATGTACAGGATAGCTCCCACAACAAAGAATTATCCAGCCCCAAGTATCAATAGTGCCTGTGTTGAGAAACACTACGCTATATACTCTCTCTGGGCAACCTCATCCATTCCCATGACTTCATATTTCTAAGTGCTGTTATCTCAAGTCCACATCATTTTCCTAACCCTAACATGTACCTGGATGGGGTGATGTGCAAGCTGTTCATTAACACGTTAAGCCCCATGTCAGTCACTGGTGACTGACACTACACTTTCCGACCAGAAGACAAAACAGTCTGGGCACTTAACATGTTAAAATCCATTTTCCCACTCTCCCACAGTAGCAACACATGACTACCCAACTAGACTAAATGTTCTAGTGTCCCTCACAATTGGCTGTGACCATGGCTCTAAGAGCTTACCAATCTTAGCTAATAATAGACAAACGTGTAAATTGACCGCCCCTCTGCTACACTCACCAGCCAAACAGGAGAGTATGCAAATTAACCCAACAAAGATGGCGGTTAATTTGCATACATAGGCACGAAGTGAAGACTGAAGGCTCTGACCGGGGCCACGAAGACTGAAGGCTCTGGCCGGGGCCGCAAAGACTGAAGGCTCCAGACAGAGCAAAAGCCTGGGTCCCGGGTGCCGGAGGAAAACCAGTGCGGCAGCCAGGGGAAGGGAAGGCCTATTGCACGAATCTCTTCATCAATGGGCCTCTAGTCCTTTATAATAAAAGACTTAAATGCAAATCGATTGAACAGTGGAACCACTGGTGGGATGACTGGTCACTATGACACGCACTGACCACCAGGGGGGCAGACGTTCAATGCAGGAGCTGCCCCCAGCCCGCAGGCCAGCCAAGGAGGATGCCAGTGGGGGCCCCGTCAGTCACCCCACAGAGGGAGGGGACCAGCAGGGGGGCAGGGGCGGCAAGCAAGCAGCACCAGGCCGGCCAAGGTGGGTGCCAGCACCTCCCCCCACAATCATCCCGTCAATTGTCCCTCCATTCGCCCCACAGATCGCTGGCCAGGCCTAGGGACCCTACCCGTGCACAAATTTCATGCACCAAGCCTCAAATAGAATATAAGCTGAAATGATGTGCACCATTTCCAAGTCTGAATCTTAAGAAAATAGGTGTGCCTTCTCTATGCATTCTCTTTGCCCTTAACCTCCAGCTATAATCTGCACATGGGGAAAAGACCAACTTCAACCATTCAAGCAACAACAAAATCCTAGTCATGCTCTCAAACGATAAAGAATATACATAACACTTGGTGAATTGTATTAAAGTGCAGATTCTAATTCAGTAGGTCAGGGTTGGGCCTGAGTGCCTCAGTTTCCAACAAGCCACTAAAAGCTGCCAATTCTGCTTCTCTACACACAGCTGGAAAACAATTATTTAGGGTTCTCTCACAGTTCTACACTATCTTGTAAATGAAGCAATAACTAGTCTTTAGCCCTAGACTATTTTTTTAAGGATGTTTGTGTATTAAGCAACTTAGAAAATAAGAGATGGTTTTTTCCCCCAAAGCAAAAAGCAGGCATGCTTACTACCCAGGTTCCCTAAACTCAGTTCTCTTCTATAATAAATCCACTGCACACTACCCTTTAGGAACTGGGGCTTGGGACACTGCAAAAATGCTCAAACTGTGGCTACTGTTGTGAATAATAAACTATCATCCTTCATCTCACACCCAAGGAGACTCATGTATTCTAATAGCATTCATGAAACAGTGGCAGGCTAACACTGACTTGCAAACAGTTAAAATCTCAGATCTCTTCCACAGTCCTTGACACAGACTACTAGAGTAGCTAGGCACTAGGTTGTAGAATCAGACTGCTAGCCTAGATTACTACAATTTAAAAATATGTATCTTGTTCGAGCCATTGCATTTCAAGTTTACTCACCCACTTTCTCACACTGTCTCTCTCTCCTCCTCTCTTTCTTTACAATAGTCTACCCTTTATCTTAATACAATTCAACTGTGCAACTCCATTTGGATACCCCTTAGAGACCCTATATTTAAACTCATTTCCCCTAAAAAAACCTATCCCTTCTCTAGATTCTCTATTGTAATGAATGGCATCAATAACCAAGTTCCCCAGTTATCCTAGATTCCTCCATCTTTCACTCCCCACATCAACAAGTCCAAAAGATCCAATTCTCTTAAATGTCAATAGGATTGGTCCACTTTTCTCCATCCCCACTGCCAGTGACTTCAGAGCAGGTCACCAGCCTGTCTTGCCTGATTACTTTATTTATTTATTTTTCTCATATTTCCCAGCTTTGTTTTTTTATTTAAATTCTTTATTGTTGAAAGTATTATATATGTCTCCTTTTCCCCCATGGATCTCTCCCCGCCAGCTCCCACTCCCCAGCACTTGCCCTTGCCGCCCCCCTACTGTATCCATTGGTTATGCTAATATGCATGCATACAACTCCTTTGATCCCTTACCACTGCCTCCCACCCTCCCCTGTCTTCCCCCTACAGTTTGACAGTCTGTTCAATGCTTCTATGTCTCTAGAATTAGATCTATTTTTGTTCATTAGATTATGTCGATCATTATATTCCACAAATGAGTCAGATCATGTGATATTTATCTTTCTCTGACTGGCTTATTTTGCTTAGCATAATGCTCTCCAGGTCCATCCATGCTGTTGCCAATGGTAAGAGTTCTTTCTTTTTTACAGCAGCATAGTATTCCATTGTGTAGATGTGCCATAGATTTTTAATCCACTCATCTGCTGATGGGCACTTAGGCTGTTTCCAAATCTTAGTTACTGTAAATTGTGCTGCTATGAACATAGGGATGCATATATTCTTTCTGATTGGTGTTTCTGATTTCTTGGGATATATTCCTAGAAGTGGGATTACTGAGTCAAATGGGAGATGCATTTTTAATTTTTTGAGGAAACATCATACTGTTTTCTTGCCTGATTACTTTAACTGCCTTCTGATTTCCCTCTCTCAAATTCCTGGTGTCCTTTCGTCAAACTGCAAGCAAAATGGGACTCCTAAAATTCAAATCTGATGTCACCCTTGCTTAAAATCCTCCATTGCTTCCACAGTCCCATTGAGACAACATCCACACTACCTACACCAGGGGTGGGGAATGTCTGGTCTGCAGGCTGTATAAGACCCGCAAAATCATTTGGTCTCGTCCTGCCAAGGCATTAGGAGTAAGTTAATTAAATGTCTGACCAAATATAGCAGGATAGTTTTTAAGTTGGTAATTTTGTATGGCCTGTGAATGATGTTATAAATATCCAAATGGCTCTTGGCAGAAAAAAGGTTCCCCACCCCTGACCTACACTGATATACAAGGTCCTTGCTTACCTTTCTAATTTCAACTCATGTCCCTCCCACCAAACCCTCTAAACAGTCATATGGAATATTTGCAACTCTCCAAAGTGACATCTCTCCATTACTCCCATGCTTCTGGAATGCCCCCTCTGTCAAACTAAAACACTCTTCCTAACTCTTCTGCCTAATTATCTATCACTTCAGATTTTGGTTTGGACACTATATCCTGGAGAAAGCCATTCTTAGCTACATCTCCTCTCTCTAACTGCATTATTACAATTTAGTATATATCATGCTATTTTACTCATCTATAGCAGGCTAAGATTCACATTTTAAAATAAAATCTCTCTAGCACTGCAACTATCAGTGTCCTGGCACATTATAGATGTTAAACAAATATACCAAATGACTGGATAAACCCCTTTATAATATCTACCTATTCAAAGTAATTCCTCTTCTCTAGCCATACACTTGAATCTTTCTCCTGTACGATAGGGCTACAAATCTTGAAAGTTTCTTACTAAAGCTAAAACTCCTCAGCTTCTTTCACTGCTCTTCAGATGGTATGGTGCTCAGGCCTGGACCTTCTCATTTAGAGCAGCCATCTTTCAAAATAAAACAACCAGAACTGAGTAAATTTCACCAGCCATAATCTGGCCAGCAAAAGATACAGAGCCCTTTAATCTCCTGTTTCAGACACTTCATTTCTGAAAGTACAGTCCAATATTGCACTATTGACTTCATTGATCAAACAAATACACATGGAAAATATTAGTTGAACTGTGCCAAAGTTGTAGAGTAACAGATTTATTTTTATTAAAACTTCAATGAGAATGAGTGGTATACTAGCTATTAAACAGATTTTTCCAGGTAACTAGTAGTTTCCCCACTTGTGATGCAAGTTTTATAGAGAATTTTGAAAACACATCTGTTCACTTTCGTTCTTTAATGACTTTCACAAAGAGAAGAGATTTGGTGTCTTTCTTAAAGACCTTTAGAATACCTCAACATCCTGATTTTGGATACCAATGAGAACTGAATAATAATTTAGAAATAGATGCTGAAGACATCAAACTGATATTTTGAGTATCAGTTTGATTTCTTTCAACTGCCTTTTTCCTACAAGGAAACTGAATAGGAAAAATATTGGTGAGATAATGTAAAGGGAAAATGTATTTTCAAATTATAAAGCAGATATTTCTGTTTCCAGAATGGCTTGCTTCTCATTGCGATGACATCACTCTGGCTAACATACTAAACATTCTTAAAACCTGCCAGACTTCCGATAAGAACTTTAGCAAGCACTAGTCCCAAAGTGACACAGTACTAGATGGGCAAGTATTCTGTGTGTCCAGCGAAAGTGGCTTTCCACACAAAGCAGAGTGGCGACTGGCAAACCAGGCCAACCTGCCAGAAGGCCAAGAGACAAAGATAGTGCTGAAGCTTGAATGTGTTAAGGCCAGCTGCAGGTATAAGAGATTGTTGGCCATCAGAGATTTAAGTATTTGGCCCTGGACGTGTCACTCAGTGATTAGAGCATGGGGCCACTCACAGAAGTGTCACAGGTTTGATTCCTGGTCAAGGGCACGTACCTGGGTTGCAGGTTCAATCCTTGGTCAAGGTGAATGCAGCAGGCAACCAATTAATGTGTCTTTTTCACATCTGTGTTTCTCTCCCTCCCCTGCCCCCCCCCTCCACTCTCTCTCTAAAGATCAATGGAAAAAATATCCTTGGGTAAAGATTAAAAAATAAATAAATACATAAATAAAATAATCTAATTTAACTTCCATCTACCACCAAGGAAAGTGAGGCTTCGAAAAGTTGTACAGAACTGAATTGTCTCAGGAATCAGGAAGCTGAACTGCCTCCCTACAAACCTACTCAATATAACAAACTTTTCTTACCTCACTCTCTATTCTGGATTTCAGCAGGTCAATATCATCAGACAGCTTATCCACCTGGGTAATCAGGTCCTGTGCACTCTGCATGCTGGGCAGGAATTCACTGTACTTCTTGCTAATCATACTGCATACTTCACCCTATAAGACAGAAACATTCCAATATGATGAGTAGGGAACTCTGTTAAAAATAAAAATGTGGAGAACCAAGATGGCGACATAGGTAAACACCTGTACTTGCTGCCTCCCACAACCACATCAAAATTACAACTAAAATACTTAACTATCATCGAGAACCGCGGGAAAGCTGGCTGAGTGGAAGTACTACAACTAGAGAGGTTAAGAAGAAAGCGCATTGAGACTGATAGGAGGTGCGGAGGCGCGGAATGGGCTGGCACCCGGGTGTGCCACTTTTTTAATCAGGAGGGAGATACAAGCTCCCACTTGCATATGGGGAGAAACTGGACTGTCTGGAATTGGGGCAGGAATGCGGGGGTGGGTTTCTCCCAGACGGAGGTGCTCGGGATGGCCACTGTTCCTGTGCTGGGGCCTCCCCAGTGCAGGGCTGACTGGCAGCCATTGCTGTTGCTCCACCCTGGACTTTCCCTGAGGCCCTGCCCCACCCAATTTATAACCCCACTCAAGCTGTGCACAGTGACATATGAATGGCCTGTCCTTTCTCAGCCTAAAACCTGTCAAAAAAGCTGCAACTGGGTTAGGGAGCCCCAAAGCTATCAAAAGAAGGCACAAGGCCAGCACCAGCAGCAGCCTGCCTTGCTTCACAGCTGGGCCTCATCTGGGCACTTCCAAACCCCATACAAAGAGGAGGAATCTGCAGATCTCTCTGTAGCTCCTGCTGGGTGGCCCAGGCAGTGGCTGACTTTGCACCTCCTTGGAGATCCAAAAGCAAGTGTACCCAGTGGTCAGTGTGAGACCATACCAGATTACAACTCCTCAGATCCATAAGTGACACACTCAAGGGGCAGACTCAGTGAGCACCAAAGCCCCACTGAAGAAAGTCCTGCCCCATAAGGGTGTCTCCTGCACAGCAACTCTTCCATGGTAGACACAGTCAACTGGCCTGGAGGTCAATTCCTCCCAGTGATGCCAACAGCAATCAAGGCTCAACTACAATAAGACTGTGCACACAGCCCACAAAGGGGTGCACCAAGAGTGTCCACCTCAGATGACTGCAAGGCTGAGCCCTGGGCCCTATAGGACACCGACTACACAAGGCCACTCTACCAATTCCAGGAGACATAGCAGCTCTACCCAATACATAGAAACAAACAGGGAAGCAGCCAAAATGCAGAGACAAAAAATCATGTCACAAATGAAAGAAACTGAAGAAAGCAAACTACTGGATAGAGAGTTCAAAACCACAGTTATAAGGTTACTCAAGAATCTTGTAAACACCTCCAAGGAACTTAGTGAGACCTTCAAGGATCTTAGTGAGAATACCAAAAAAATAGAAAGGACCAGTCAGAAATTAAGCATACACTGACAGAAATAAAGAATAGTATACAGCCCTAGCTGGTTTGGCTCAGTGGATAGAGCGTCAGCCTGTGGACTGAAAGGTTCCAGGTTTGATTCCAGTCCAGGGCACATGCGTGGGTTGCGGGTTCAATCCCCAGGATAGGGCATGCAGGAGGCAGCCAGTCAATGATTCTCTTTTATCATTGATGTTTCTATCTCTCTCTCCCTCTCCCTTCCTCCCTGAAATCAATAAATATGTATTTAAAAATAAAAGAATAATATACAGAGATCCAACAATAGACTAGAGCAGTGGTCGGCAAACTCATCAGTCAACAGAGCCAAATATCAACAGTACAAAGACTGAAATTTCTTTTGAGAGCCAAATTTTTTAAACTTAAACCATATAGGTAGGTACACTGTTATTAACTTAATTAGGGTACTCCTAAGGCTTAGGAAGAGCCACATTCAAGGGGCCAAAGAGCCGCATGTGGAGAAAGGCAGGGCCGGAAGTGCTCATGGTGAGCTATTATCAGCTCAGGTGATAGCCACCGATTTTAAGCAGACATCTAGCTGGAAAGAGAGTAAATGGAAAAATTAAATCCATAATCTATATCGCAACCAATCTATGACTTTCTAGCTTCTCACTTATAAAATTGAAGGCCTCGTTTAACCCTTAGTGGATGCGTCCCATCATCTCTTTTCATTCAAATGATAAACAACATCCTGAATGCTTTTTGCACTTCCATCATCTCTTTTCATTCAAATGATAAACAACATCCTGAATGCTTTTTGCACTGAGTCAGTCAAGGCTTTGGCAGACACAGAATAAATCATGCTTGCCCACATGTAGGTTCCGTTTGGTGGTACAGACAGGACACCCTAAAGCAACCGGAACAGAGAGTGCAATGCAGCGAGGGAGTTGGAGCCCTGCAGGCGCACTGGGTCCAGATGAGAGAAACCACACTGATACTCGGAGTACCAGTTGGATGTCTTCAGCATCTGCTTCTAGTCCCCCAGGGGATCCTTCTCACGCAGAAAAACACATCTGAGATGGAAAAATGGGTCAAACGACACGTAAAAGGCGGAGCAAGGGCAACATACGCAAAATCGAAGAGCTAGGAGGGGGCAAGGCGGGCCTGTTTGGAGAACAGACGGTACTTCCCCACGGGCTGAAGGTCCAGGTGGGGAAAGACACCCCGAGAGGGAGAGGCAGGGGGAGCCGGGCCGAGCGCACGGACAGGAGCCCCGTCCTCGTTCCGGCAGATGAACGTGCGGAAAAGGTCCACCACCTTCGCAAGGAAGAGATGCCGGAGACAGGGTTAACTCTAGGAACCCCTTTCTAAGTCATGTCTGCGCCTTCCTGGTCCACGCCACACCTGCCGCCCTAACCCCGAGGTGCGCGGCGCTCAGGGGTGTAAGTGCCAGCGGCCGAGGGGGGCCCGCACCCCCGGCGGCACCTGCGCGCCTTCCGGTCCGTCTCCGTCTCCAGACACAGGGCCCCAGAGAGCCATCCGCGCGCTTTTAACCCTCGGCACGGCCTCGGCCCGGGGACGGGGAGGAGGTAAACAGGAGGATAGGTGTTAGCAGGGACGGGGAGGAGGTAAACAGGGGGAGAGCTGTCACCAAGGAAAGTTTCGGCCAGGAGGAGGGCGCGGTCCTACAAAGCTGTTCTCCTCACCCACAGCCCGTACGAAGAGGGGGTGCAGGAACCGGGCGCTCCGGGGCGGAGAGGAGTCCTCACCGCGTCTCTCCCTCCCACACGCTCCTCCGCGGACCCCGGCGGCCGCCGACCCCGACTCCCGGTCGCCGCCGTCCCTCACCGGCTCCGCAACCTAACTCCTCACCGACGTTCCCCCGCATCGCCGCTGCCTCTCCTCCGACCCAGGCCGCCTCGGCCCCCACCCTCACCTGGGCTCCCCTCCAAACTCCTCCCAACCCACGGACGTCCAGCCTTCCTGCCCCTCATTCTTCCCACCCGGCCCCTCACCGGACTCGGCCGCACCCACGCTGTCCGCCCTCAGCCCCGCTCCTCTCCGTCCCGTCACACAAGGATCCCGCGTCCCTTTTTAGTCAGCCAACGGCTTCCCCGCCGGCACCTTGATCTCCTCCACCCGCCGGGTCAGGTGGCTGATCCGTGTGCCCAGATCCTCCTTCTCCAGACTCCCCGAGTGTGCCAGAACTTCCGTCACGAACGAAGCCATCCCCGCGACCGGGACAGACGCTCACAAAGTCACTCTCCGCAGCCAGCGCGGCAGCGCCGGTCCCGCCAGCAGCCGGGGTGCGCAGCCTACTGGGAAATGAAGTCTCGCGGGGTCCTGACTGCTGCAAGGAAGACGGCAGGAGCACTACAACTCCCAGGAGGCACCGCAACTCTCCTAGAGTGGAAATGTCCACGGCGTCTCGTAGGTGGCAAACTTAGGAGACGCGGTTTTTTTTCTGTACTTTTCAAAGCTTGCGTTTTTTCCCACGGTTTTTCACTAGAAGAAATAAATAAAATGTTTTTTTTACTAACCGCTCCTAACTGAACTTTACTCCATTTCAAAACGCTTACTTATGAAATTTACCTAGCCAGAAGACCCGACAAGCCCATCTTGAACTTTTTTCGTTAAATATTCACTGACCATCAGAGTCTAAATGAATGGTGCCCTCTAGAGTTGTGCAAAGAAGCCGCGTCGTGTCCTTTAAATAAAAGTCCGCCTATAATTGCATAGTCTTGTCGTTTATATTACATCTATACACACATATACATGTATATTACATCTTTGTACATATACATATATTACATCTACATAACACATTACCTGTGTATAGTATTTATATTACCTAGGACTGTGCAGAGTAGAACAAGATACTCAGCACATTCTATCAGATAATACAAGTCAATTTTATAAAAAGCTTTTAAAAGTTATTTCATTATTTAACTATGTCACATACTGAGAGAAGTTCATAATATACGTACAGTATGATTCCTTTTTGTAAAAATAAATAGGCATAGATACATACGTAGAGGTAAAGGATGTATACCAAATTATTCTCTCTGAGTGGTGGACTTATGGTATTTATTCTCTTTCCTTGTTTATCTGTTTTACTGCAAAAAACATGCCCTGCTTTAATTAAAATGTTATCTTTAATTTTTAAAAAAATTTCTCTTTGAGAGTTGACCCCAAGTAGATGTTGATACTAAGGTCCTTGTCAATCCTATATAATAAAAGGGTAATATGCAAACTGACCCTAATAGCAGAGCAACCAGGAATGACTGGTCACTATGACACACACTGACCACCAGGGGGCAGATGCTCAATGCAGGAGATGCCCCCTGGTGGTCATTGCGCTCCTACAGGGGGAGCTCTGCTCAGCCACAGGCCAGGCTGACGGCTGCCAGCACAGCAGTGGTGGCAGGAGCCTCTCCCACCTCCTCAGCAGCACTAAGGATGTCCGACTGCAGCTTAGGCCTGCTCCCTGCTGGCAAGTGGACATCCCCCAAGGGCTCCCGGGCTGCCAGAGGGATGTCTGACCGCCAGCTTAGGCCCGATCCCCAGGGGAGCAGGCCTAAGCCAGCAGGTGGACATCCCCCAAGGGGTCCCAGACTGTGAGAGGGCACAGGCTGGGCTGAGGGACCCCCCCCCAAGTGCACAAATTTTTGTGCACTGGGCCTCTAATATATATATATATATATATATATATATATATATATATATATATATATATATATATATATGTTTTTATTGATTTCAGAGGAAGGGAGAGGAAGAGATAGAAACATCAATGATGAGAATCACTGATGGCTGCCTCCTGCATGCCCCACACTGGGGATCAAGCCCACAACCCAGGCATGTGTCCTGACTGGGAATCAAACCGTGACCTCCTGGTTCATAGGTCGTGCTCAACCACTGAGCAATGCAGGCAGGGAAGGCCCTTGCCAATTTTAAGTGTCTGTGAGGCAATCTGTTTAACCTAGTGAGGCAAGGGCAGCTTCCTGTGACATGAGCAAATGAGATGAAACTGGGATTGATACAGGAGGCAAAAAGCACAGTCATGACATCCTAGGAGGTTCCGCTCCTGAAAAACAAATTAACTTCTGTTTGGTAGACATGTCAGCCTCACTTTAAATTATAAATACTGATAATAATAAATGCCCAGTGAAAGAAGGACCTGCAGACAAAATTCCTGAAAACATGTATTATATATTTCCAAGAGGCCCAGTGCACGAAATTCATGCACGGATGGGGTCCCTCAGGGTGGCCTGCGGTGACTGGGCCCTAGTTCATGCCCCCAGCCTTGCAGCCCCGTAGCCCTGCCTGGCACCCCGCCTTAGCCTGGCACTTCCCACTCACCTGCTCCACCATCCCACCGCGGTCCTGCTTTCATCGGGGCCCATAGGGGCCAGCAACATCTCCACTGCTGCCCACTGCCAGCACTGCGTCATTGACACCTGCCATGTTTTGCACCGCCCCCTGGTGGTCAGTGCACATCATAACGAGCAGTCAAATTCCGGGTTGGTCGAACCCTCACCCAAGGGGACAATTTGCATATTAGGCTTTTATTGTATAGGATTGAGCAACTACTATATGGCAGATACTGGGCTAGGCTGGGAATCCAAAATATGTGAGTCAATAATCCCAGGAAAATATGATTATTGCTATTTTGAAGGTAGATGAGAGATGGATCCAAATTTTGTGGGTCCTAAATCTTATACAGTTTTATGGGAGGTAAGGACTCTTTAAGGAAAAGAATATAATCCACCTCTGAGAAAGGTACAAAGGGCAGAGGAGGGGGAGCACTCAGTCTCTGACTAAATCAGGGAGGCTTCGCGGTAGGAAGGAATCTGAACTGAGACGGGATGGAGGTGTCACTTTGAGGTTGAGGTTCTGGTATCTTTTTCTAGGAAACAGATCTATGGGTACCCACAAGCATGACAGAAACTCCTCCAATCCTGGGGCAAAGAGGCCACTGGATAAACTGTTCCTCAGGGTTCCAGGAGAAGGCAGGGAAGAGCCAGAGTTAGGCTAAGGATGGAGAAGAAAGGGCATCAGGAATGGAGTGGGATTACTACACGTAAACAGTTGATGCTTGCAGGTCTGAATGAATACTTGAATAAATAAAAAGAAATGAATAAATAAATAGATACTGTTTCCCCTCTCTAACCTGACCTCCTTCGTGGTTCATATTTATCTTGGTTTATATATCTCCCAGTTCACAGATTTTCACAAATCATCAATAAAGGGCTCTGAAGAAAAGGCAAGGAAATAAGGAGCAATGTCTGAAAGGATTCCTTCTTGCAGCCCCGTAGCCCTGCCTGGCACCCCGCCTTAGCCTGGCTCTGCCCACTCACCTGCTCCACCATCCCACTGCGGTCATGGCTCACACACATGTGGCATGCCTGTTTTCAAGAAGAAAGTATCAAACACAAATCTGGATGATATATAATACAAGCAGACAGTGTTTCCAGGGATCTATAGTTTGCCATCATCTTGATTAGGACATGTGGTTGTTACAAGAGCAGCAGAAGGAGCCTACATTTTGAAAGCGTGTCCCCTTTGCTTCAAAATAGTATGAAGGAAGGGGGAGTGGGTGCAAGTAAGGATGAAACAACAGTGGTATAAATGGATAATTTTTTTTTTATTGCTTAAAGTATTACAAAAAGTATTACATATGTCTCCTTTTTTTTTCCCCCCGCCCTTGACAATCCCCTGGCCTCCCCTACCCCCCAGTGTCTTATGTCCATTGGTTATGCTTATATGCATGCATACAAGTCCTTTGGTTGATTTCTTACCCACCCCCCTCCTGCCCTCCCACCCTCCCCGGCCTTCCTGCTGTAGTTTGACAGTCTGTTCGAGGCAGCTCTGCCTCTGTATCTATTTTTGTTCATAAGTTTATAATGGTCTTTATTATCCAGAAATGAGTGAGATCATGTGGTATTTTTCCTTCATTGACTGGCTTATTTCACTTAGCATAATGCTCTCCAGTTTAAATGAATAATTTTTTAAGTGGATAATTTTTGAAATAGATGATAGGACATGAGATTTCCATTTGCTCTGCTTTTGTATATGTTTGAAATTTTCCTATAATAAAACCTAAAATAAAAAAGAATATTCCAGATGCTTTTGCTCTCCTCCTTCCACCACCACATCACTGATGATCTAATCAGACTGTTTAGGTGTTGAGACATCATGCAAATCAATCAGGATACTGGTTTCTCCTTGCTGGCTGTCCCGCACCTCTGCTAAATATGAATAGGGGAATACATTGGTCAACATTCATGTCTTTAGTAAATCAATCCCTATCTTCTTCTGTGTTTTGCCATAAAGATTAACCCTCACTCACATGCTGTGACACCACAAAACACTTCCCCCCTTCTTTTTTCTTTTCTCTGTTACCTTTTTTCCTTTTCTCAATATCATTTTTGCTCTGTTTTCTCTCTCCTAATTCTCTATTCTCTGGTGGTCACTTTTATTTGGATTACCAGTGTTGTGAGTGCATTCACATTTTCTGCCGATTTTCGTGTTTTGTCAGGTTGTATTTTGTGCTGTTCGGTCAACGTGGTAAAGCATGAGCCACATAACCAGACACCTAGAGAGGAGACTCCATCCACAAATGGGACAATAACACTCAAGACCCAACTACCCCAAGAGAACCTAAATATCCCGAGTAGGGAAAATCCCTAGAATACCCAGCCCAGAAGACCTCAGAGATTGCACCCCTGGGTCTCACAAAACATCTACTATATAAGATAAACTAAAAAAACAACAACTGGGTGACATAGAAGTTTGATCTAATACATAGAAACAACCACAAAGGAACAGAAAAATGGGGAGATAGATAAACAACGCCAATACGAAAGAAAAGGCGGAATCACGAGACAGGAAATAAATGAAATGGAGGCAAGCAATATGTCAGAGAAAGAATTCAGAGCAATGGTTATAATGACACTGAAAAGAATGAAAACAAATTCAACAACATGTGTAAGAATCAAGAGGAATTGAAGAACCAAGAGGAAATGAAGAATGACATAGCAGCAATAAAGAACACAATGGAAAGTATCAACAGTAGAATAGAAGAAGCTGAGGACCACATCAGTGGGCTAGAAGACAAGGTAGAGAAAAACCCAAGCAGAGCAGCAACTGGGGGGGGTGGGGGGGGAAGGGTGGGACACTTAAAAAGCAGGAGGAGAGTCTAAGGCAGGGGTCCTCAAACTTTTTAAACAGGGGGCCAGTTCACTGTCCCTCAGACTGTTGGAGGGCCGGACTATAGTTTAAAAAAAAAAAACTATGAACGAATTCCTATGCACACTGCACA